CACTTGGTAGTGTAGGTGAAAGCTTCGATGGAACTATACTGAATCTTATCATGTTAACCAGACTATGGCTATGGAGTTGGGGGTACACAAAATCAGAGTGAATGCAATATCACCTGGACTTTTCAGATCGGAAATTACGGAGGGTCTTATGCAAAAAGACTGGCTGCACAATGTGGCTATGAAAACTGTCCCTTTAAGAACATTTGGCGCTTCAGATCCAGCATTGACATCGCTAGTTCGATATTTGGTACATGACTCTTCTGAGTATGTCTCTGGCAACATTTATATTGTTGATGCAGGAGCCACCTTGCCGGGTGTTCCTATTTTCTCTTCCCTCTGAATTTTCATGTAGATTTATATTCATGTGGAACAAAAAAGAGTAGAGAAATAAACAAACGTACAACAAATATATATTGTACCACCCCTGGCAAGTTGAAGATTCAAGAATAATAGAATGTACGGCAGAATTCATTTTTGTTGGCTTACTATTACGTTTCTATGTGCATTTTTTAGTTTACAGTTGTTTTTTCATTAGCCGTTGAGTGCTACATGATAACAAAATGAAAATGAAGTATAAAGATGAGTGGAGGAAGGATGGTGGAAGAAATGTATACGACGAAATGGTACACTGCATGAAAACTAGAAATCAAAATTGGAAAACATTTGAAGTTGTTTTCGGTTTCAAGTTTTTCTCTCGTGCAATCTCCTCTTGCTGTCGTCTCGTTGTCTTGTATGAGGTAGGTCTCACATAACATTGGTAGTTTACCTTAGCTTGGCTTGCAAGGTTGTTGAGGAACACATAACCAAAGTAGCAAGTATGATCAAATGTTTTGGAATTTCATTCTTCACAATTGTTATCAAAACGGAAAACTTAACAGAATACCAATTTCAGCACATGTTAGAGAGAAGAATATTTAGAATGCAAACTTCTAACTGTAACGTTGCAATTCTGTCTAGGGTATGCTAAAGATTGAAGAGAAATGAGAATCGGGTTAATCGTGTGTTCAAGAAACTCTCATTATGCATGGAGTGGCTTCAGCCTCTGCTTCTAAATCTTGTATTTCCTTCTCCTTCTCGACAAGAAGGTTGTCTGTCTTTTGCAGCGCTTCATTATCGTACTCGGCTTGCTCTTCCATCATTCTTAGTTGCTGGAGTGCTTCCATATGGAGCACTCCCTTCTTCTCTTGCAGTCTTGTAATCATGGCAATTGTTTGATCTGAAGCGATTGTAGAAGCATTTCTTTCTTCCTCCAACTCCTTATACAAAGCGCTTGGTGATTGCTCAAGCCCTCAAGTAGCAGATAACTGTGACAGCAAGACCTTCAAATCTTCCCCAACTTTCGAAGAGTCCTTCCCAATCAATTTTTCCGCAACCACACCAGAAAAATGCCTTCCTTTACTAACAACCAGAAGCTTATAAGTGTCACTAAGATCTAGACACCCGATGTTCATTTTAATTTTGCTTTTTGGTTCTTCTAGAAAACCTTTAGGGGGCGTGTGTTTGCCCTCACTAACTGTCATTGGACTAGATTGAACTAACTATTAGTCCAGTCCGGTGTTTGTTATCATGCAGGACTAGTCTTAATGAGACTAGCCCGAACTTGCCTACACTAAAGGCTTCACTAAGAGGTCATAGTGAGGCCCCCCAAAAACTACGGGATTGCTAGTCCCGTCTCCCTCTTCTGCGAGCAACATTGTGCGAACCCTCCCCCACGCCTTTTCGTCAATGTGTCTGCTAGAAAACTCACCTTCACCTCTCTAAAACAGATGTCAAAAGTCACAGAAGATATTCCATTGAAGACTGACCTTCATATCTCTCTACAAAGACCAACAACGGAAAAAAAGGGAAAAAAAATTCACTTCTTGCACAATCAGCAAAGAAATCAAGAAGGAAGAAAATAAGGGAATCCATAGTTCTCTGCCCACTCCCAACACCTCATCACGCTCAGTTCAAGAACCAAGTCGTATATGGGTTCAACCACGACCTCAGTGGAGACAGAGAGGTTGGGGATTTTAAGTGAATTTTTGGGGTGGGGGATGGGATGGGTTTGTGGGAAGAGGAGGTGAGGAAGATTGAGGATTTTAGTTGCATCGTTGGTGAGGCAAATGGAGACTCTTTGCCATCACTTTGGTTGCATCGCTTGTTTGGGTTAGAGAGAGACGGTGGGAGTGAGAGAAAGGGCCGATGGGTGGGAGGGACAAAAATGGGGAAAAAGGGAAAAGGGGATGGAGAGGCGAAAAGTTACTAGGATTGGAGAGATGATTCTAAAAAAAAAAAAGGAAAAAGATAAAGTAAAAATAAAATATTAATTTAATATAAAATATTTTAATATTGCAATCCTGTTTCTTAGTCCGACACTGCACCAAACGCTTCACTAAGCTAGTCCAGCTTAGTCTAGTCTAAGCCAGTCCAGCTTAGTCCTTGCAGCTAGTCTAGTCTGAGACAGTCCGGTGCAACAAACACACCCTTAATGTTATATTAGTACTTCTATATCAATTTTTGGTTATAATTATAGTAAATTTAAAAGGTGGTTATAATTCTATTTGGGGTCCAAATTTTAATTATTTTTCCAAATTTTCCGAGTTTAACATGATGGATTGGATTGTGTTGAATCCCTATTGAAATTGACGCAAACTAAGCATGCTATATTTCCAATTTCCGTCGACTGGCCACAAGAAGTAAGGATACGATGAATCAATGTTTGATCAAAAAAGAAACGAGGCAGGCATGATGTAGCTGACGTACGGTGGAAAGGTTGATCTTATGTAACGTTTGTTGTGCTCAAGTGTTGATGTAGCTGCACTACATACTCGAACTCGCTTGTTTTCCATTTCTTCCTTTGGGGAGGTGGAGGGTTACAGAGTCTGATGATCCAGTTGGAATTCCCAAAATGTTTGTCAATAACAAGCAATGGTTAAAATTCAAGTTCAAGTTTGATAAAGTGGCAAAACATTTCCTACTCCAAAATAGTTATCCTATACCATTACAAGGTTGCATAGACATGGACACGGATATAGCGACACCACGATAGGAACATGGCAAATCTTAAAATATAGGACACGGACACATTGTTTAAAATATAATAAATTTATAGTAAATATTGCACATATTAAAAATGATATTGTGGATTATAATATAATAAAATAATCGTGTTTATCAAATTCATTCATTATACATAATAACTAAAATAACACAGAACATAATAATTAAAACAATACAAGTATAATAATTAAAACAAGAAGCTAGATGGAGGTTGAAATGATTATGTGAGTCTTTTCGGCTCTCAAAAGGTATGAATAAAGTGGCTTGTAACCAGTTGTTCCCTTTATTAAAAAAAAAAAAACCAAGAAGATATATATTTATGCTCAATGACAAATTAAACAATCAACTAAAATAGAATGCAACTGGAGTGGAGGCCGTAGAGAAGAGGCTACATCGGTTGCGAAGAGAGGAAGAGAGGGAGAAGAGAAGTGGAAGGAGGCGCATATAGGAGATTGAAGTTGAGTTAGGACGGGTTGCTTGCTTTAGTTTTTGTATTTCCAAAGTGCCCCAAATCTTTCAATGTTTTTATGTTTCCAAAACTGACTCAAAATATTTTTCAAATTTATAAAAATGCCCCTGTCCTTTGACCAGTGTCTTGACCATGTTCAACCTGTGTCGGAGGCGTGTCAGAGTGTCTGACACTTCGACACTTTGGGGTTTCAGAGTGTCCGTCCAACCTAACTTAGAAGTGCAAATGATTAATCCATAAATGCCAAATCTCCTACCCCGTAAAGGCAATGACTATATAATCCGACGTATAAGAAGGACTAGATGATGAGGCCAACTTTTGTATTCTAGGGTTTTGAATAATCTCATCCAATATTATTTTTCTCATGATTTACAAAATCTGGGAACTTAATACAGGAATAATAAGGTAATTGAACTTTTGGCCTCGATTCAAACAATACACCAAAATAGGCCCTGTTGCTCCAAAAATACATTTGTGAGAGCTCAAATTTGAGTTAGAAATTCCAAACTTTGGCTCACTTTTCACTAGACCAAAACCTTTGAAGTTTTGCAAACGACGTTTCCACTCTAAACTGCACTAAAATGGGAGAAGAAAAAATTTGAACAAGAGAGAGACGAATGAGGATCATTTTTGTGAGGATCCCTGAGATTCTCCAATTGTATCCGTTCAATGTACATCGTACGGTCATAAATCATTTTAAATATTTTTTTTATTTAAAATTAAATATAAACAGCACTTCAAGCCACATAATATACGATAAACAAATACAATTGAAAGATCCCCGAGATCCTCACAAAGAGAACCAGAGAACCAGAGAGAATCCTCATCCGATGAAGTGGTCCAGAATCCGGATTTTGCTTTTACCCTTTTGGTCATTGCGCATGGTTTATAAATAGGTTTACGAAATTACCCTCATGACTCTCCCAATTCCTCCCGTCGTGTCCTTGCACAGCACAGACACAAAACAAGTGAGAAGCAGAAGAGCCCTCTCTCGTCTTATCGCCTTCCCCAATCAATAATTCAATCTGGTACCTACCCGCTTCTCGTCTAATTGAGGTTAGCAGCTGTTTGTTAATTCAATTTGAATATCAATTCTTCGTTAAAAGTGAACAAGTACGTATTATCGCTTTGCTTTGCTTTGATTTGATTTGATTTGATGGTAGGGTTTGTAGATTAGATTGAGAATTTGAGATTGTAAATTTGAGATATAGTGTTGCCTGCCTGCAATTGCAATGTTTGGTTTCCATAACTTGTCAAGACAAATGAGGAATGTGCTACTCTATGAGTATGACAAGGGAACACTTGCACGATTCTATGGGGGAATTTTCAGTCTTCCTATTCTTCAAGTTGTGATTTTAGCACTGTAATGTTCCTCTCTCTCTCTCTCTCTCTCTCTCTCTTTGTTTCCATATCATTCAACAATTAAACCGGTATCCCATTCGTTGATTGAGTTCGCTCGTTCGTTGTTGTTTGTAATTAATTTGTATGATCCCAGCAGCAGCAGCAGCCACATAACCAGCTTTTAAAAGACATTCCAGGATTTGTCAAGATTGTAGAAGTTGGTCCGAGGGATGGACTGCAGAATGAGAAGCACATTGTTCCTACTGCTGTCAAGGTTCAGTTGATTCAAATGCTCGTTTCTTCTGGCTTTCCTATTGTCGAGCCTACAAGTTTCGTCTCCCCAAAATGGGTTCCTAAGGTCAACTTTTCGGTTGCACATTCAACTCTTATACTTCTTATTCTACGCCTACTAAAAGTATCCATTGAAAAAATGTTGTTCTGTGGTTGTCAGATTCACGTCTGCCGCTTCTGAGCAATCTGTCAATTCTTTGATTTTGTAGCATCCTCTATGTTTTTATCTTTCTTGGTTTTGTAATGTTTTTCTCTTTGTTTTTTTGTGTTTCATGCTGTTTGTTTAAAGCATCTTTAATTTTAGTTCTCCATTGGCTATGGTTTTCATGGCTGACTTTTACTGTCTAGCTGATCCTTCAATTTCAGCTGGCAGATACAAAAGATGTAATGGATGCTATTCGAAATATTGAAGGTGCTAGATTTCCCGTCCTGACCCCTAATCTTAAAGTAAGCATTTTCTAGTGAAAAAACATAACATTATAAAGTTATAAACGGATCACAAATACGTGACGAATTCATATTGTGATCTAGCTTTCTTATAGGGATTTGAGGCAGCTATTGCTTCTGGTGCAAAAGAAGTTGTCATATTTGCCTCGGCTTCTGAATCTTTTTCAAAATCAAATATAAACTGTAGTATTGAAGATAGTCTCGTTTGTTATGGTGAAGTTGCTATTGCTGCCAGAAAGCTTTTAATTCCTGTTCGTGGGTATATTTTCTAACTACTTTTTGTTTTCTGTGTTTTGGGAGTCGGGGAGGGCTGTATGGGTTCTTCTCACTCCCAGTGGAACTAAATTACTTTCTTTCTAAATAATATTTTTATATGGAACTATTTAATTTCTATTGTTTTTCTTAGCAGTATTCCAATATTATAACTTTCTAATCCTTTTAGATACATATTGTGTGTTGTGTTTTCCAGTGGAAGGAAAGATATCCCCATCACAAGTAGCATATGTGGCGAAAGAACTTTATGACATGGTTGCTCAGAAATTTCTCTTGGTGATACAATTGGTGTAGGTACTCCAGGTAATTTTGTCCGCCTTTCTTCTTGTTGATTTAGTTGGCTCATGCCTTTGCTCTTGTTGAACTTATACGATTTCCTTATGCCATCCTAAATGCTCTATTAGGCTCTTAGCGTATTCATCAAAATGGGAGGAAAAAAGAAACTTTCTAAGCTTTCATGCTATGTGGGTTTGCCGGCCAGTGATTGGGTGTTTTGACTTTGGGAAAGTTAAATTTTGCTTGGGCTAATTTCATTTGGGTAAACAAAGAAGTTAGAAAGCCAAACTAGAAGTTCAAGACCGAAAAGTTACAGAAAATGTGCAGCTTGAGGCTTGGCTTGTAGTGTGCCATTCACATTTGTTTGGCATTTATCCCATATAGTAGACACTATTTGGCTGTGGTGTATTCCTCAAGGCTTATGCTTTCTGGGATAAACTGACGCTTTGAAAATATAAAAAAAAAACATCCCCAAAAGATGTCATAAGTTCCTAACAGTAAAAGCTTCAGACCCTGTCTTTTTAAGTCCAGTGATTGTGATGGTAGTTTGTGTTGTTATCTTAATGATGCGGAAGAAGAGGATTAGGTAGTGTATTTTGTTTGTTTGTTAACTTCTATGGTCTTTTTTCTTTTCCACTCTAGGTAGTGTCATTCCACCACTGACACACTTGCTGTCCATTTTCATGACACGTATGGGCAAGCTCTTTCAAACATACTAGCGTCACTCCAGGTAATCCACATTGCTCTTGAATTTAGCAGGAAAATTAAACCAAATGTAGGTAGTTGCAATTTTTGATATGATTAGATCAGTCAAAATCAAAGTATAAGTCTTCAGACGATTGTTTTTGTCTTGGATTTTCGACCCAATTACCACTATCAATAAACAATTCATGATTGAAAGGCCTCTATAATAATTATTTAAAAAACTAGAAGGCAATTACGAAAACGAAGCCGAAGTACATTTGGCACTTATCAAGGGACTAGTAAAGGAGGGTACTCAATGCGCCCTTGCCTACTCAATGGTCTGAGAGGAATAGTTTGGAGTGCTAGCAGTGCTTGTGGATACATACATGCTAACAAGCCCAATGAAGTTGGTACGAACATGCAGTATTGGATTGGAAGGCATCTACATAGTGCTGAGCTTGTCACAGTAGAGCGTGATGGACATCAAAATAAACAAATGGAGCTCGTGAAAAAGGTGCATTATCCGAAGTCTCAATTAAAACTTGAGACAATAGATTTTTAGGGCCACTCCAACACAAGTTGATTCCCTTTCTTGACTACATGATTCAGCAGACCATACTTCTAGAATTCTGACCGATCTTAATGTTTAAGGATAATAGAACTGCATATATTAAGAAAAAAAGGATAATCGAACTGGAATGACATTTTAAATCTTGGCAGATAGGAATCAGCACAGTGGATTCATCACTATCAGGTCTTGGGGGTTGTCCGTATGCTAAAGGAGCTTCCGGAAATGTTGCCACGGAAGATGCTGTGTACATGCTTAATGGACTTGGACTGAAGACCCATGTAGATCTTAAAAAGTTCATGTTGGCTGGGGACTTTATCTGCAAGCACCTGGGGCGCTCATCTGGTTCAAAGACAACAGTTGCCTTGAGTAAAGTCACAGCTCCTGCCTCTAAGCTATGAGGTACCACCACTAGATTGTGTAAGTCGGTCTGTGTGCGCGCCAAATTCGATACCTGAAGTCAAGAAGGCAGTCCTTTTAAGATGTTCTGCATTGGTGCATTGGGAAAATACAAGTACATTGATGCCATGCACAATTGTTGTGAATTAAATTACAGAATCAAAGGGGACTAGATGGAGACTGACTTTCAAGAAGTGACAACGGATGTTTCTTTTCTGAGTGATTTTCACTTTTTTTGCCTCTCCGCATTCATATTTATTTTGGACATTTGGATTGATTAAGTCAAAGAAAGAATTAAGAGAAAAAAAAAAAAAAAAAAAAAAAAAAAACCAGCGTGTGCAGAAGAAGAAAAGGATTGAGTGGACATTATTCCCTTTGTGTTGTTATAATGCTACACATGCCAGCTACAGTGGCGAAGCTACAAAGGGATAGAGGCCCCTCTTCACGTCGGAAATCAAGCCCAAAAGCGTGATTCTGCCCCTCTAGTCCCATCGGATTTAATGGTTGCATAGCCTGGTGTCGGTTTTTTGGTTTCTACTGCTGTTGTGCAGGAGTGTCATTTTATTTTATTTTATGTTATTTTATTTAGTGTCAAACAGATGCCGTTTCGTTTAGTTAATTAAAAAAAAAATAGGTTGGGGGGGAGGTGGCGGCATTATGACATTGAATAGCATTATGAATAGCATGCAGATGCCGTTTTGTTTAGTTAATTAAAAAAATAATAGTTGGGGGTGGGGGGTGGGGGGGGGGGGGGGGGGGTTTTAAGGGGGACCATTGTGGCCCATCCCTTTTCTTACTCTCCCCAATGTGGCATTATGACATTTAATGGCATTATGAATAGCATGCTAAAGTGTTGAGGAAGATTTAAAAAGACTTAAAAGAGAATGTGAGAGAAGACTTGGACTATTTGGATCTAACATAAGATATGCGGGCGTAATAACGTTCTAGGATTCATATAACCGATCCTACTTAATGAGATAAGACTTTATTATTTTTGTTGTTGTATTCACAAATAGCTTTTCCCCCTTTTCCTCCTTTTTTCCCTAACCCTGCCGTGCTAAAATTTAGCACTAGAGAGGAAAATGCCAAGTCATCATAATTTGTTATTATCTAGTCTAGTCAGCAAGGAGGTTTCTTACAAGGACATAGATCCTAGCCGGATCTCACCCCATCAAATCCTAAGGATTTAGATATCTGGATCGTTGAAATTTGATCCAAGGGGGGCTCTTCTAAAAGTTATAATAATTGTAGCCGTTGGATCTTTCAAGGGTCCGGATCTTCAGATCCTTAAGACTTGGTGGGGGAGATCCGGCTAGGATCTTTGTCCTTCATACAATTGTGTGTAATTTAGATAAGGTTGTTAGGAGTTCTTTTGTACATAGCAAATGCTATATATATCCTTCCAGTACTGTAATTATGATTCCTTAGTGAAAGAGGCAATTTTACACAAGTTTAGTTCCTGGCACATGAGTAATTTATATGAATATTTTCTAAAAATTAATTGATATGAAGTCGACATACATATTTGGTAAATCATGATACACATTTATTCATCTAAATGTCGGAGATATACCCTTTATATATGTTATGTATATAAAGTACACAAAAAAATTCCATTTTGTTTCCTCTTGTTTTTTTATTTGTCCATACTGTGTCTCTTGTTCATTATAGATGTGTACAAACAAGATATCCAGCAACAAGAAGGAAAATGATTGAATAGAGGAACTCTCAAATATTTGGCAATTTCAGATGTGTCGATATCAAAGGTGCCTCATTATTTTGATGAATCATTTCTTCATATAGAAGAATTCACCATGATATATCTGATCCATGCATAATATCATGAAAAATTGATACAATTTTTTTGGCTGTTACTAGTATTGGCAATAGGTCTAAAAAAGATTCCAAAAATATCAAATTTAGGTATTTGTATCCTATCGAAGTATGAAACCTTGACATATATGTTGTATTGTATTCCATTTTGAGAGTTGAAAAAAATACTATCTCGTTGAAAGTTTCTATACATCCGCCCTTTCTCAAGGCATTTCTTTAGACAAAGACCCAGTTTTTCCTCTTTTCAAATGGTAAATATTTCTCAAAACATGAACTGTGAATCAAACCCATGTTTGAATTGAAATTGAGATACTGATGTAAGTTCTTCCTTTATGAATTAGATAGATTCATATCTAAAAGAGGTTGACAATAAGTTTTTTTTCAAAATTGACTATTTATCCCTCTATTAGGAATGTTCCAGAAACGTCTACGATCGAGTAAATAACTCTACAAATGAATAGATCATATCGAATTGGAAAATGTAAAATTTGTACAAGTTATCCGTTTGTCACCATTTTGCGGAAAATCATTAGGTATGAATATGTTGGACACCTGTAACTCGATTAGTGAAATAGTATCTCACTCCAAAAAAGTATATTTGTTTTACCTCCGCACAAAGAAAATATAGTTGCAAATGAACACAATATTAAGGAATTGTCCATACCTAAAATTATAATTATTGATACGGGCATTTTACACATAAAAAGGTATTCCTTTGTTACAATATATAATTGAACGGGTACATGCATCTTTAAGCATTGCATGCGGCTCTCTAATGGAATTTTTACCTTACTTAAATATCAAATAAATATAGCAGACTTTAAGAAAATAAGATTTTGTTTATTTTTTATTTTCATGTTCTTTCATAACATAAATATTGTTAAGAGCATCCTGGCGCGAAAACGAAAAAAATTATTACGTTGAAACAGGCCTCCTAATAGATGGGATAAAATTAAAAGTACCTTTTATCTCACACTAGGGCTGGGTTCGGTTCAAAATGGTTCGGCTTTTTGCCAAAATCGAAACCGAACCGAAATTTCGGTACGGTTCGGTTCGGTTCATTTTTTTTTCAGTTTCGGTTTTTTCCGGTTTGGTTTTGGTTTTTTTCGGTTTTTATTTTTTTATTTTTTTATTTTTTAAATGATGTAAATGGAAGGAACCTACCTATCAACCTCCCAGTTCTCATATATCAGAGAATTGAAAGCCTCAAAATCCTGAATATATTCAAGTAATTCAATTACTTGTGATCAAGCAGATTGAATTCAAATTTTCAAAACTTAAGCAAATACAGAAACATATATTCTTCAAGGAAATGTACATCTTCAGGATTCAAAATTCAAAAACTTTAAAATTTACGAAATCATGAAATAATTCAACAAATTAACTAATCGATGCAGATCGAAAAAAAAAAAAAAAAGCAAATGGGTTCGTCTAAATGCCATAATCGGACTTCAATATCGCATGCCCAATGTCCACATTCAAATTCATAGTCAAGTCCACATTGAAATTCAGAGAAAAATACAAACTTTTTCACCTTAAATTACATAAATTTCAATTAGGTGACCATAAAATTAAAAACCTATGAACTGAAAAATAAATAAAACCCACAACCTTTGCTACAGCGATATCCCCATGATCGTCGCAAGCTCTTACAATTCCTCTTTTCGTCAGGTCTCGAAAGGGGCAAGGGAATCATGGTTTGGAAGAAAGAATTCGCGAGGATGACAGGAGAAGACTAGAGAGAGTGATTTGGAGGAAGAGAGGAAGGAGAGGGAGACAGAGAAGAGAGAGAGAGAGAGAAGCTGAGGAAGCAGCGGATGGAACAGAGAGAAGGGTTTGAGATCTAAAATGAAATGGGAGTGAGACGGCTAGGGTTTGTATAGTTAAGAAATTTTATAAAGCATTAAACATAAGAAACCTATAAATAAATTACTGGTACAACTATAACTACAGAAAGCTTACAGTCAAGTTGGCTTGCAGCAACTAACCTTAACCTGCAGGGAAGGGGTTCAAATTCTGACGCCAACATGTTTTTTTTAGTATTTATATATGATTTTTTTTCGGTTCGGTTTCCGGACCTCAAAAATCGAAACCGAACCAGCTAGATTCGGTTCGGTTCGGTTTGGCAGTTTTGATTCGGTTTTTTTCGACCTCGGTTCGGTTTGCTGTTCGGTTTTTTTCAGTTTTCGGTTTTTTGAACCCACCCCTATCTCGCACTACTCTTTTGATACATAAATTAAGGGTTAAAAATTTATGTGATACATAAATTAAGGATAAAATCAAAAGTACCTTTTATCTCACACTACTCTTTTATTATCTGATGAATGAATGATTCAAACTCCTCCCACCCACATGGTTCCTCTATTGAAGGGGTTCCACTTCTTTTATGTGGGGAGGGGATGTTGTGTTCCTTTCAAGTGCAAAAATAAGGATAGTATAGTGGCACAAGTAAGGGTGTTGAACCACAGGGACTAATTAGACCTCTACAAATTACTAGTTTTATGTGAACCCTAACTAAATGTTGAAACTAACAAATTGAGTTTTGATTTTGATTTGAGAAGTAAAGTAACTTAAAATGTAAGAGAATGTAAGTATGAATAATAAAATGATTCAGAAACAATGGGAATGAAACTAGGGATACCGGTTTCACCATTACAAGCCAATTCCATGAAAATAAAGTCAAAACACATTCAACTCTCCAATTTGCAACTAGGGTTCGTTTTACTTATATATGATCATCCATTTGATGTGTGGGTGTGATCAAGTACTCCTAATATGCAACCTAGTTGTGATGTTCAACTTAGATTACCAACTAAGAATCCATTAAGAACAAGAAAACTTCAAAGACCCAAAGAAATCACATGGCAGGATGTATGCATAGTAGTTTCTTCATTCATTCACATGTCGACCAAGATTAAGCATGATGTGTACTATAATCTTGATCAAATAATTTGTAAGGAACCCTAATGGTGATCAAACTTTAAGATAAACAAACAAATTAAACTATAAAATTAGTGAATGAAACAAGAAAACATATTGATGAATCAAATAATTTAACTTAATAACATAGAATAGTTTTGCAAGGCTACATTGAAATCCCCAGCTATGAACTTAATTACACAACATGATTACAAAATATATAAATATGAAGAACAACATGAGTGAAATTAAATTCATAGAAGAAACCCCCTTGAAGCAATTATGATGTTGAACTTCTCTAAGAGCAACGCGGCTGCGTGATTTCTTTGGTGGCAGCAGATGGCGAAGGGAATAAGGGTTTTGTTTCTGGAAGAAAGGCCAAAGAAAGAGAAGAGAGAGAGCTCTGGGAGACCCCAAAGGGGGCTTGTGAAAAAGTGATCTGAACCCCTAGTATTTATAGGCTA